TTAAATGTTTTAAGATTTTTAATTATTTTGTTACAATTATTAGGAACCGGATAACAACCAAAATTATTAGGTCTACGGCAAGATTTATTTTGAACCGGATAGCAACCTGAGTTTTCAGATCTACGGCAAGAATTATTTGGAACCGGATAACAACCAAAATTATTAGGTCTACGGCAAGATTTATTTAGAACCGGATAGCAACCTGAGTTTTCAGATCTACGGCAAGAATTATTTGGAACCGGATAACAACCAAAATTATTAGGTCTACGGCAAGATTTATTTAGAAAGGGCTTATTTAAGATTTTTACGTCGGTTTTTATTATTCCCAATCCGCAGAAACGACGTTGTTCTGGGACGCATTCTCGTTTAAAGATTCGGTATTATTGGAGAAATTTGAATTATAATTTATATTTTGATTGGAACTATTTCCTTCATTTTTTCGTTGACGTTTGAAACAATCGTCTATTAAATGACCATTCTTTTTACAATAATTACAAAATTTAGATTGATAAGATGAGTTATAGTTTCCATTTGATTTATGATTTTTATTTGAATTGTAATTTGTATTTGAATGGTTATTTGTATTTGAATTTTCGCTAGGTTTATTTAATTGTACGTTAAATTTTTTATTTTTAAAGCAATCTTGTGTGTTATGAGTTTTTGTTTTGCAATTTTTGCAGAATTTTGATGGACGGGATCCTAAAGAACTAGATTTCGAAATTTGAAGAGCTCTTTCTTCTTCTAAAGCACTAGTTAGAGCGTCTGATAAATTATTAGAGTTTTTACTTCTTAAAAAACGCGATATTTCCGGTTGACTATGGAGAATAAAGCGTTGCAAAGCTAATTCTTTAATAATTTGAACTCTGGCTTTGCGAGTGCCTTCGTCGTTATCGGAAATACAATTAACAATGCGGGTGTATAATTTATCGACTCTGTTGTGAAAAGATAGAATAGATTCGTTAAAATTTTGTCTTATCGTATTAAGATCTTCCATTAATTGTGTGTAATGTTTTTTGTCTGCGTATAATTGTATTAAAAGTTCTTTAAGGTCCTTCCAATCGTTTATTTCTTTATCGCGCAATTGTGCTTTTGCACTACCTGTTATTTTCGAAATCACGTATGCTATAAGAGGTTCATTTTGAGAATTGTGTGCAAATTTAAAGGCGTTTTCGCAATTAGAAACAAATTCGTATAACTCTGTGCGATTTCCGTCGAATGATTTAGGTATAAGTGAACAAAGAAAAGCTAATTTGTGTGGAGGAATGTCTGTTATGTTGCTGCTATCAGCACTTCGAAGCGTTTGAGGGTTATTTTCAGGCATTGTGAATAGTAAAAGTTTAGTAGACGCGAAAATACAAATAAATGTTTAAGAAAATTAAAAAAAGATTTAAACCTGCTATATAAAATGGGGAAACAGAAATAAGGAAAAAGAAAGGAATAAACGACTTACGTTTGATATTGTCTGTCTTGTGCGTTCTTCGTTGTGGTTGAGGGTTCTTTGTGTTGCTTGATGATTCTTTGTTGATCCAAGGAGTTGAAACTCGCCAAGTTGAAGAAATATAGATGAGTTGCCCTTTTGATTCTTGATTTACTTGATTTTTGATTCTTCTTCTTGTGACCAAATCCAATACGACTGCGCCAAATTTTATGTTGGGATACGAAGAACTAACACTTTGACTCGTAAGATCGTTTATTGTAAATAAATTTTACATAATAATTAAATGAATAATAAATATTCGAGAAGTTAAATCTTAAGTTAAGTGAGTGAAAAGTAAGTAGTAAGTGTTCTTTTGGTTTCTAAAAAATGAGCTTTTATACAGCGCGATAATTTTTATCAGTTAATGGAAAAATAGAAGCGCTGTCTTTGAAATTATGAAATATCTAATGATGCGTAATAATTACTTGAACTATTTGAACTTTTTATTAATTTAATTTATGGACTTATTTTTTGTAACCCTAAAGATCACGACTTAAAGATTATTTAATATACATTAGAAAAACAAACTGTTATCAAATAAATATACAGGGTCTAACAGTTCTTTTAATTTATATTTTACAAAATGGTACTTACAAAGTAATAAAGGCCACCCTATAGGTAAAATTAAAAAATATAACTTAAATTTTCAAAACTAATAATATTTTGCACTAAAACTCAAATGTATATTAATTATTTTTTTGACAAATATAGGCACGATACATCTTAAAAATTATAAGCCCTCCAAATATTTTACGGTTTTAAGAAAAATTATTGCTTAGGTAAAAATTCAATAAAACTTAATCCTACAAAATTTTATAAAATCTTTTAAAAATCATTTTTTAATTTATTATAAGTATGAGTATGAGTATAAGAGACGTATAACCAGCCCCATTGCCTCATCACTCCCGGACCCCGTACAGGCCTATGTTTACTTACGCCGATTTTTGTTCGCCCCCAGCAACTGCACGGCTTCACCCGTGTTTGCTGGGTGCGAATGTCCATTGCGTTCCGTACTGTCCCCTATTTGGGGCTCGAGAGCGACATGCGAATAGTTTTAATAGCCATTCTCGGGTTCGCCGAGCCGATGCTATACGTCCAGTATAGAGGAGGAGGGACGGGAGGGATAGACGTTTGTTGGTTTTTGGGGGACAATTACGCCGACTTAAAACTAACTACGACGCGGAATCCCCCTAGACCAGTCGATTAGTATTACTCCAAACATTTGGGATTACTATTTGGAGTTGGGGAGTTGTTATTACGCTGCAGGGGTGTAGTTTCCTTGTCGAGGTCTTCGTCTTGTGCTTTATTGTCATTGCCCGTGTCCTCAGTCTTGATGCCGAAAACCATCAATAGCTGGATATGTAACTTGTAGCTTTTGGTGTTTTTTTAAATTGTTTATTGCCGCAGTAGTGCGAAATTTCTAACAATTTTTATTTTTATTAGTTATTGTGTTGCCCAAGCACGTTTTGTGGTAGAGTTTTGTCTTTTTTTCTTAAATTCCAAAATTAAGTATTGCATTTATTTATTAGTTAAACAAATGACAAGCGCAATTATTCTGTTATCTAATGTTTACAAATCCAGTAGAGTTTGGTTATTATGCTTTTTTTTACTATGTTAGGGTTATAATGATTAATGTGTTAGTTTATTCTGTGTGTCTAGTGTTTATTATTGGTCTCGTTTGGGTTTGCCTTACGCATTTGTTGTTGACAGATTTATTGTCCTACGCAGTGTACCTTTCTTGGGGTTTTAAAGATATCTGTCGTGTTTAATTTGCAGATTATTTGTTAGGTCATGCATATGCTTAAAGTTACTTATCAATTTTTTGCGGATGGCCACCTCCCCTCTTGTTTGACCTCCTTTGTTTGTCCAGTGAAAAGCGTTCAATGACGGGTGGCACTTAACACTTCACTCCTCATTGACCGTTGCACCATTTTAGTTTGCACTCTATGAAAATTGTTTGTTTCACTATAATGGTTTGAACATTTTAAAAATTATTGTTGGTTTTAATCTTTAAACTTTTACGGTTTAAGAGCTCTCGCTCTCACGTGGTGCCTTTTCAAGTGCTGGAACCTGACTGTAATATTAATAATTAATATTATATAAATAAATTAACCTGCAAGTTTATTTAATTCATTTGGTTATTTTATTGTGTTTTATGATGTTAAAATGAACTTAAACCAGATAATTACAGTTTAAGTTGACTTAAGAGTTAAAAGTAATTAAAAAAGGGTAAAATAAACCAAAAACTACCAAATATTAACTTTTTTAACCAAAAGGTAAATTAACCAAGATGTTAAATTTAACGGTAATTTAAGGTAAATTTAACTTTGTATAACGTAAATTTAACGTTAATTTAACCAGTTGTTAAATACTCAGTGATAAGCCGGTTTAAGCAATATTGGTGACAGTTTTCTCTTATTCTAATTCTTGTACGCTTTTTTTATAAATACGACTGTACCTAAACGCATTTCATTAAATATTTACTGCAATCTTGCAACAATCAGCAAACACATAGCTTGTGTATATTTTATGTTGCTATTTTTTACTATAATATAATATATCCCAATTAAGAAATTTTATATAGTATGTCGGATATAATATGCCCATAGATTAAGTTACAAAGAGGAATTTTTTTATTTTTGATTTATCAGAAAAATTTATTTTTGGTAAAATCGTTTGCTTGTTTTCAAACTCTTCAAACTCACCTTGTTTTTACTCTAACTGCATTTTGGTAAGCAATCTTTTTAAGTCAGGCAGGCCGAGATCTCTCTCCAACACACTGTAGATTAAAATTATAGTAAAATACACTTAACATTTTTTTTCTACTCCCACCTTTAAAATGCCCTTTATCGTACATGTTTCCATGACACTAAGTGACCTTTTAAATACACATTGACAAGTTGTGGCTTTAAGGCTCTTTAGTCACGGGCTGAAGTTAGCAACAGGTTTTTAGTCACGGGCTGAAGTTAGTTGACAGTTGTCAAATGTCATACAATCGTTAAAATAAATTGCCTTTCTTGTAAAACAATACTAAATGTGAAAATTATTTTATTATATCAATACAAAAATACAAAAGTATTAAATAGTTTCTCAACGCCAATATTTGAAAAGTTTATATGAACATTGTACTGACCTTTTAATTTCGCTGGCAGTAAACTATAAAAACTCAATTTTCAAGAAATACATTTCGATTTATAACCTTTATAATTGTGTTTATAAAATAGAAAAATTTGACATTTGACGGTGACACACAGATTCCCCTATTGTTTCATAGATGGCGCTCTATACAATTTTTTGATTTAAATCATTTTAAGATAATAATAAGTATTTGTCGTAGAAAAAGTATAGTATGCACCTCGTTTTTAAACTTTTCTATACACTCATTAATTTAAGCACTCGCTCGCAAGCTCGCTCGTGCCTAAATTAAATTCGTGTATAAAATGTCGTTTATCAAACTTGATACATAATATACTATTATTATCTAATTAAAATGTCTTATTTTAATTATTTTTTTGTTCTTCAGATGTTTAGACATGGCGACAGAACAATTATAACCACATATCCAAATGATCCTTATAAGGATTTAAAATACTGGCCTGAAGGATTTGGACAGTTAACAAATGTAAGTATTTCTTATGAATGATATTATAGTTAAAAATATAATTGTTAAAAATTGATGAAATGAAACATTTAACAAAATTTTAACTCTTTAGTATTTAACAATATTTAGTATGTCGGTGCATCCACCATTTTTGCAAGTATTTTTATTTTAATTTCAGAGGGGTGTTGAACGAATTAAAACTTTCGGGAAATGGTTTAAACGAAAGTATGAGGAAATTTTGCCAACAAATTTCGGCGAAATGTATTTTCAAAGCACAAATAGCGATAGAACCAGAAATTCATCGAAATATTTTATATCGGAACTTTACGACGATGAAAAATGGCAGAACGTTATTAAAGTTCTGCCATGGCAGGAAAATTACTACCTAAAATGGAACAAAACTTGTAATAAATACATCGAAGCTAAAACAAGGTACATTAAATACTTGATAAACAATCTTCCTGAGGATTTTGATGGTATATTTGACTATTGCACAGAAAAAACTGGGAAGAAAGCCGTCGATTTGTTATATTTTGAAAATCTGCATGGTGTTTTGGAAAATGAAGAAGAGGAACGAAATTTAACCCTTCCAGATTGGACCGGGAAAATCTATCCAAATAAAACTCAATACCTATCATTTTTAAGCTTCTCTAGCCATTCAGGGCTACCAATATTAGCGAAATTAGCCAACGGGCCTCTATTCGACCTAATAATCAACAATTTTGAAAACAATACCTACAAATTAATGGCTTTTGCCTGCCATGACACGCAAATTTCGAACATACTTAAAACATTCAATAGTTTTCATGACATTCCTAAGTATGCTGCCAGTATAATATTTGAACTACATCAAACAAAATCAATGGGGAAGTATATCAACATTCTATACAAAGAGGATGATAATATAAGACCGATAATTTTGGAAAATTGCACCAAAAATTGCGATTTAAAACAATTTAAAGAAGTATTAAAACCTTTCACACTAACTCCTGAACAATGGAATCAGGAATGCACAAACTAGATCGTATTAGGGGTCGTTTACATATTACAAAGTAAAAAATATTTGTTATTTTTAACCAAATAGTAATTTGTAATTATAACAAACATTTTGTAGATTTAATAACAAAATCCTTTGTCAATAACTCAACCATAACTCTTTTTGTAGACCCAGTAACAAAAGTATGTTGTCTAGGTTAAGTGGAAGCACAACAGCCCTTTGGCAATATGTTGAACTTCGCCTTTTGTTAAACAAATTTAACAATAAAGCTATTTATTATTATTATTATTATTATTAAATTGGGAACTTAAATGAAAAGAATTTTGATAAAAAATGTTGCTTTATTAATCAATTTCTTAAACAAAAAAATAACATACACACAATCAAATAACACACCATTCTGAAATAATCAAATTATAAAGAAATTTGGTACTATATTATTATCAGTACTTCTACAACACTTGTATTTCGAAACTTAATCCACAACTGTATCCGGGTCATTTTTAAAATTCTTGTACATTTAAAGAAGAAAAAAGTAAAAACAGAAACTTAATCTACAAACCTGTTTTTTTTCAAATTTGTTTATTGAGGGGTGTTAACACCTGGGCAGTTGGATTTTTTTAAATAAGCCCCTAAAAAATAAAAAAAATGGTCACAAATTTACTAACATATTAAAAAAACTTATACAAAAATGCTTAATCATTTTAAAATAGTTATTTGTTTTAAAAGTGTTGAAAAGCGACTTCTTCATGCGAGTGTTTAAGTTGCTCACGAGGCCGTCAGGCTTAACACGAGCTTGAAGAAAGCTTTTATCACAAGAGAACACAATGTTTTTTCTACGACCCTTTTATTTTTTATTATACTCAAATACAAAACAAAATAACCTAAAAACGTGTTTGACAGCTGTTAAAATTCTTTCATCTTATTCTTTTAATTTTTAAGGTATAAGTTACTTAAAATCAATAAACCTACCTTCCCAATTTAAATAAAGGCACTAAAACTACAATTTATTATAAAAACACAATTAATTATGTTCTCAGTGAGTCTTGAGCGGAGCGGTCGAATCAAGCGTCTCGATAGGCGCGTACTTTCTTTCATAGTGCCATCACCGCTAAAGTTCAATAACAAAAAAATCAAAATCAATATCGATTCTACACGTGATAACTGTCCCAAGTGCAAAAGAGTGCAAATTGTGTGTGGTACCTCCCCCTGGATTAAGTCCTCCTGGACAGTGGCGGCTCGTGGCAGTAAAATTTGTGAGTTCTGCCAGTGGGGTTTAAAAAAATGTGGCGCAGTGGGCATTTAATTAAATGGTACCTACAGTTAATTAATTAAATCATAATTAAATCATACACCACATTCATTCTTACAAAAGAATACAACAATAAACACAAAAATACACCGAATTAACAGTCTTCTAGTTAAAATAACAAACGTGAACGCGAAGCGAAAAACAAACGTAGGAACTGTATGTTGGTGCAGCTCCGGTTTGGCTTAAATTTCACTATCTCAACCTAGGACCAAGAGCGGCGCGGAGCAAAATTACGGTATTGAAATGGGACCCAGAACTCGAAAGTGGCCCAGCTTTGTTGTATTGTAAGCGTTAAGCGTTAGAGACCTTTACCGGTCGTTTGGATGACTGTAGTGGCCAAGTACGGCGAATGTTTATAATAAAAACTTTTTATGCAGCCATGCGTCATACACTGTCGCACTTAAATATTAAATAATTAAAAAATTAGTCAAGTAATAAGAAAATTTTGGGAGTTCTGCAGCTCTGCAGCCCTTATGCACTAGCCGCCCCTGCTCCTGGATAAAAGATGTGAGAGAGACGATCAGTTCCAATGAATAATTTCCTGGACTACCACGTGCGGGCGGCATGCGTTAAGGATCAATTTCATCACACCTGCCTGGCAATTATCCCGAAGTCCAAGTCTGCATAAATTAGATAAGTAGTTACCAAAATTGCATGACCATATAATAACCAATAATATTAATACTAGTTAATACAAAATCCGCAACCTTTAACTAACAATAATCCGTCAGGTAAAATTAATTAGTCGCAAACAATTTCCAAGACTCCCATGCACAAAATGAAAACATAGTAAAAAAACTATAAACACAAGGACACACATAAGAAGCCATTAATCATTCAAGTTACGATAAACATTAGGAAAAAGAAACCATCTTAAAGAAATAAACATCTTTAGATTACTAAGACGTAAGGGGACCATAAATTAGGTAAATAACCGTTCCATGAGTAAATAAACAGCCGCACCGCACAGTGGGGTAAAAATTCGAGGGTATCGGCAATTTCAAAGGCGGGACAAACAGCTGCTTATGAAGTCGGTACTCGGCAAAAAGGGCTGAATTTCCACGTAACCTTAGACACTGTCATCCTCGACCTCCTAGGGTGGATCTACCAGCCGGCGTAAAAACTTCGGATCCAACAAACACAGGTAATGCTGTGATTTGGCAGGATATGCAGGGGAACGGAAAGGGGGTAAAATAACCCTGGGAGATTAGTGGAGGATAATGTCTTTGGGGCCTGCCATACGTTCCCATACTCATACTCATACTCAAACACAATTAATTATGTTCTAAATGATATTTAGACATATATGTCTATATATATATATGTATACATATACAAATACAATAAAAATTTTGAAACGAATGTCAAACGATGCTGTCAATTTATTTTCACACAGACCTGTCACTTTTCATACAAAAATGTCACTTTACATTCGTGTTTTCCTTGCCAATGAAAAGATTAATTTTCTAAGCAACGATGCCAATACGAAATGTAACTTCTACATAGTGGTCGTAGAAAAATATATTTTTTTGATTGAAAATAATCATTTTAAGGTTTTATTTACACTAGGATTTGTTTAAAAAAGAACATAAATTTATTATTTAAAAAAATTTAGTACAAAACTAAGTAAAAGCAAAAACTATGTTCTATTTCTGTATTTAACACGTTAACGGCCACGGCGGTTCCATTAAAAAAGTGAGTTTAAGAAATTTTCTTTTCTTTAATACGCTTTTTCTCGATCTGGGCCCAGCTTGTCCAATTTAACGAGCAATAAATTAATAAAAAGTTTTATTTATTAGTACTAATTATAATTAAAGTTAAATAAATAAAAAACTATAGTTTTTTATTTATTTAACTTTTATTATAATATGTCATAATATGTCCGTTCAAGCACTTTTTTGATAATTCTCTACAAATAAGTGTAGGTACTTAAAGATAAAAATCTTGTTTTTATAAAAATTTGGAAACACTTAAAAATCTCATGATAGGTAATACCAAACATAATCATATGATGATAAAACAATCCATTTTGGAAGAAATAGTTTTAATGTAGTTTTATGGAGTACCCACTAAGAAAACTATTTTATCTTATAAGATATAAAATATATATGTATATCCCAAGCAGCATTTTAAGTAAAAGCGGAGAGCTTTGAGGCAATATTACTTAATTTAAGTAAATATTTTGTTAAATTAACCTTAAAATTTACTTTGAAATAAAACTTTTTTTAAAGTTATTTAAAGTTTTATTTATGTTATTTTTACCTATTTTAATAACCCTTAAGTTTAAACACTTTAAAGTATTATGAGGGACGTAATTTTTACGAAAGAAATTTACCTAAAGGAAAATGATTAAAACTAAATGTTTTTTAAAAGATTTTATAAAATTTTTCTTAAAACCGTAAAATATTTAGAGGAGTCATTCCAAATAAAAACACAAAAAGGATGCGCTGCTTGTTTTTTATTTTGATAAAAAAATTGAGGATGATCTTTTAGGTATCAAATATGTAAATCCGTTGCCGTTTTAATTTTTGGATTCTTTACTTTTAATCGGCACCCTTTAGAAATCTGAAATCGTGTCAATTTCTTAGTCTAAAGTAAGAGCTCTTATAGTGGGCCAGAACTTTTTTCTGTGACAAATATTGAAATGATTTTAATTTTGTTTTACTGTTCAGTAAGTGTGTTTTCGATATAAATTATTATTATCCAATTAGTTAATCTCATAAAATAATGGTAAACCACTAAAGATTTATGATAATTTGCCAATTTTTGTTAATTTTGTCTGGCTCCTGTGCCTATTCTACTAAATCTAGAAAGTTATTTTTTTTTCAGGTATCAAGTACTTATACAATAGAAAACGTAACTATTATTTTAAGTTTCTAGACTATTATTTTCTTTATTAAAAAAAATATTGAAACTTGATAATTCTTAAAATTAGTCAATTTTGCCCTCAGAAATCGTTATGTTGAGGAAAAAATAAAAATCTGAAACTTTCAGGAAATGTAGTCCTTACCTTCATCTTTTCAGTCCAGTTAGTCTTCTTTTTTTATTTTTATCCATGTAAGATATAATAATTTTTTTAATTCCAGTTAAGAAGCGATATTGTTAGTTTTATTTATAATTTAAAATTTAGTACTTGATACCTGAAAAAGGCAACTTTCTAGATTTAGCAGAATAGGCACAGGAGCCAGACAAAAATCACAAAAATTGGCAAATTATTACAAATCTTTAGTGGTTTACCATTATTTTTTGAGATGAACTAATTAGATACTAATAATTAATATTGAAAACATACTTACTAGGCAGTAAAATAAAATTACAATCATTTCAATAATTGCCACAGAAAAAAAGTTTTAGCCTCTTATAAGAGAGTAAGAAAATGACACGATTTCAGGTTTCTAAAGGGTGCCGATTAAAAATAAAGCAACTAAAAATTAAAACGGCAACGGTTTTTCATATATGATACCTAAAAGATCATCCTCAATTTTTTTCATTAAAATAAAAAATCATGCAGCGCACTTTTAAATTCATTTTTTGTGTTTTCATTTCGATTGACTCAGAGGGAAAAATATTATTAGTTTTGACAATTTAATATTGTTTTTATTACGTTATTCTCTTAGTAGATCAAAATATTATGTAGGTAAAATAACGAACTAAACCATTCCCCAAATTTGGTAATTTTTACCTTTAATCTATACCGTTATAAAACCGTTTTGGTTAACAGTAAAGAATACTTAAGTTGACTTAGTAGTAAATTTGTTGTTATTTAAACTTACAATGGTGCTTGAGATCCTATATGCTCAATAAAATCCACTTTAGTGAACCCACTTGAACTTGAAATGTTATCTACCTTTGAACAATAATGTAATACTAAATAAATAATATAATTGGTTGATATTATAATATAATTGGTTGATATTATAATATAAGATATATCTTATACAAATATAAAATATCTTATAAAAATAAACACATGAATATTAAACGTTTTTTTTAATACCTTTAACTGACATTTTAATTTGTATGACTAACAGAAGATAACAAAAAAAATATTTTTGGAAAAGTTTTTATTATTAACATTAAACACGTTTTTTTTATAATTATAGGACGGTAAAAAGAGACATTACCACCTAGGAAAATGGATTAGAAAAAGATACAGCGCCTTTTTGGATACACACTACAAACACTTCTTTACTCAATGCTACAAACCTAAAGAGATTTACGTAAAAAGTACAGATGTTGATAGAGCACTTATGTCAGCAGAATCAAATTTGGCTGGTAAGCAATATTCTTTAACTAAATTTTACACTAAGAGAACTGTTTTGGGAAGTTTAGTTTAATATAAAAAACGCTCGGGCAATTTTTTGTCACGTGACAAATACGTATACAGAATGTTTAAAAAAAATACCGTACGTTTAAAAAATAAAATATGGTTAAAAAAAATTATGTAAAATGTTATATATTTACAGGATTGTATAAACCGCGTGGAAGGGACGTTTGGAAAAATGACTTGGACTGGCAACCAATTCCTATACATGGTGTTCCACAGAGTCTGGACAATATAATAAGCATGAAAAAAAAATGCCCGAAATATGAAAAAATGTATGACGACTTCATGGTTGGGCCCGAAATGAACGCTGTCAAGAAAAAATACCAGAAATACTTTGATATCGCCAATGAAAATTCTGGTATGGAATTTGAGAACGTTAAGCAGTTCGAAAAAATCCACGGGGTTTTGAATATTGAGTTAAGTAAGGGTTACGACATACCGAAATGGACAAAGGCGATTTTTCCAATTTATACCGAAAAACTATCGGGTATAGCCTATTCCACAGGATCGTACAACCAGAATTTAGCCCGCCTAAAAGATGGACCCTTTTTTTACTTCTTAACCTCACATTTTAACAGAATCCTCAATCAAAATTGCACTGAAAACAAGGAGGGGCCTTCCTGCCAAAAACTGCTCATGCTCTCTGCGCATGACAAAACAGTTGGCAACATTTTGACAGCTCTTGGAGTGTACGATTTATTACCCCCACCATTTTGCGCGACCGTTATTTTCGAATTAAGAAACCCCCAACAACCGTACGTCAATATTTTGTATAAAAAAGATGACGATCTCAAAAAACTCAAATTAAAAGATTGCAAGTACAATTGTCCCTGGGAAAAATTCTTACAACTCACTGAGCAAATTACTTTGAACAATACTCAATGGGAAGAAGAATGTAAATTATAGGAAATTACTTATTTGTGTCAAATAGGACGTTTTTGTTTGGAAATCTATATGGTGAGATGGGGCGTTTTTGGAAGTTCTACTATATATTCGTCAATGCTAAAAAATGTATGTCAAAATTCAAAATAAAAATAGAAAAACAATGTTTGTTTTAATAATTTATTAGACTTTCAAATAACTACATAATATTAAAAATAAAATATCAGTATAATATCATATAATGTGATGTACATAAATAACACAGACTAGTTAGTAAAATTTACCAAATATTCCGGGCGTTAAGAAAAAATTAGCCCTAAAGTATGAAAGAATTTGCACTGATTTACAATTTAAAATTTATTCCGTTAAAATATTTTAAAATCAGTGTAAAAAATCCATATACTTTTTTTCACAATAAAAAAGAATAAAAATTATATACAGGAATGAAACATTGAGCAAAAAGACCATTGGCCTCAGAAGACAACCTTGCGGAACACGCACATAACAAATTATATGATTTGGACCCTAAATACCCATACAACAAAATACAGGGTGTCTCCGAATTCCAAAAAAAATAATTCTACACATGGGCGGATTTGGGTACCTATGGGCTGCAGCTCTGGGCTTTGCCCCATCCAGGGCCCCGCGATAAAAATTTAAAAAAAAAAAATATTAAAAATTAATCTTGTTAAAATTTCAGCCCTTAATATTATTTTCTATTTCCTATTTAAATAAAATATGTTATTTTATCATTTTTAAATTTTCAACCGTTACTGGTTTTACAAATTAACATTTTTGGTTAGAATAACAATTAATTTCAAGAAAATAGCAATTTTATTGCAAAAAATTAAATTGTATTACCAGTAATTAAAAAAAAATTAAATGACATATTTCTGTAGAAAATAAAATGATATACAAAGAAGGTCCTATGAAATTTTGTAATAAGTAAACCAGTAAAGTAAGAAAAACTTAAAATTTACCATAAATTTAACTTAAATGACTTTTGAACGAGTATATTTATCATTAAATAATAAAAGCCATTATTTGTAGACCATTTGATTTTCTTTAAAAATATGTTTTGTTCATTTTAGTCCATTGATCCGTTTGCGAGTCATTCCCACGAAAAAATTTAATCCCTTTTATATTATAACTGTATGTAAGTGCATCAATTTAAATAGTTGTTTAATATCTATAAATATAAGAATTTTTTTGACAAAGCCCATACCATAGCTTCTGCACAGGGCCCCCAAAGGTAACAGTCCGCCCCTGATTCTATTGCGTAAAATATGAAAAAGTTTTTAAGGAGATGGGGTTAAAATTTTCAATTTTTGGATGGAATTCGCAGACAACCTGTATAAATTATTCCCTGTGTACAATTCAAAGTTTGAATACCCAAACTATTAATAACAAAACACCCTGTTTTAATTGTACGCTGTTGCGTTTATATTGGTGAACGTCCACTTTTGGTAGACGGTGTTTTTACATTTGTCCACCACCACACCTTTACCGATGTCGATGTTTTCGCTCGACAGGCATTTTTTCGACGTCGGGTGGTATATGGTGCCGTTCTTGTAGAACACCCAGTATTGATCGCGTTTGTGGCCGTGGCACTCGGTGAGTTGTACCATTTTGCTGCTGAACACTTCAGCGCATACATTTTCCTTGCGCAGCTCGCCTTTGGAGCTAAGCGAAAAAAATTGCGACATGGCTGTGTAAGGGTGACAGTTGTAGAGGCCTAAAGGCCCGATTTTGTCCTCCGGCAGCTGAAGGTCGTCGAGGCACATCTCGAAGGGCGTTTTCACTTGACCATACGCGTACACGTTCTCATCTGGTATGAATTTTTCCGGATAAATGTTTTCCAGGTACCATTTGAACGACTTGCATCTAAGCTTACTTCTAAGTTGTTTTCTGTGGGTCAAATCACCAACGACGGGGTTATTCTCCAGACCAGGTTGATACATAAAGAAAAACTTCTTATAATCGTCCCTGGGAAAAATTCTTACAAGTCACTAAGCCAATTACTTTGAACAATACTCAATGGGAAAAAGAATGTAAATTATAAAAAATTACTTTTTTAAAATATGAGGTTTGTGTCAAATAGGGCGTTTTTGTTTGGAAATCTATATGGTGAGATGGGGGGTTTTTGGAAATTCTACTATATATTCGACAATGCTTAAAAATGTATACCAAAATCCAAAATAAAAATAGAAAAACAATGTTTGTTTTAATAATTTATTAGACTTTCAAATAACTACATAATATTAAAAATAAAATATCAGTATAATATCATATAATGTGATGTACATAAATAACACAGACTAGTTAGTAAAATTTACCAAATATTTCGGGCGTTAAGAAAAAATTAGCCCTAAAGTATGGAAAAATTTGCACTGATTTACAATTAAAAATTTATTCCGTTAAAATATTTTAAAATTTTGAAATCAGTGTTAAAAATCCATATACTTTGTTCGCAAAAAAAAAGAATAAAAATTATATACAGGAATGAAAAATTGAGCAAAAAGACCATTGGCCTCAGAAGACAACCTTGCGGAACACGCACATAACAAATTATATGATTTGGACCCTAAATACCCATACAACAAAATACAGGGTGTCTCCGAATTCCAAAAAAAAAGAATTCTACACATGGGCGGATTTGGGTACCTATAGCTATATAGCAATTTTATTGCAAAAAAATAAAATGTATTACAAGTAATGAAAAAAAAAATTAAATGACATATTTCTGTAGAAAATAAAATGATCTACAAAGAAGGTCCTATGAAATTTTGTAATAAGTAAACCAGTAAAATAAGAAAAACCTAAAATTTACTATAAATTTAACTTAAATGACTTTTGAACGAGTATATTTATCATTAAATAATAAAAGCCATTATTTGTAGACCGTTTGATTTTCTTTAAAAATATGTTTTGTTCATTTTAGTCCATTGATCCGTTTGCGAGTCATTCCCACGAAAAAATTTAATCACTTTTATATTATAACTGTATGTAAGTGCATCAATTTAAATAGTTGTTTAATATCTATAAATAGAAAGAAATCTTTTTGACAAGACCCAAACTTGTATAGGCCCCCAAACAGCTTCTGCACAGGGCCCCCAAAGGTAACAGTCCGCCCCTGATTCTATAGCGTAAAATATGAAAAAAGTTTCTAAGGAGATGGGGTTAAAATTGGAATTCGCAGACAACCTGTATAAATTATTCCCTGTGTACAATTCAAAGTTTGAATACCCAAACTATTAATAACAAAACACCCTGTTTTAATTGTACGCTGTTGCGTTTATATTGGTGAACGTCCACTTTTGGTAGACGGTGTTTTTACATTTGTCCACCACCACACCTTTACCGATGTCGATATTTTCGCTCGACAGGCATTTTTTCGACGTCGGGTGGTATATGGTGCCGTTTTTGTGGAACACCCAGTATTGATCGCGTTTGTGGCCGTGGCACTCGGTGAGTTGTACCATTTTGCTGCTGAACACTTCAGCGCATACATTTTCCTTGCGCAGCTCGCCTTTGGAGCTAAGCGAAAAAAATTGCGACATTGCTGTGTAAGGGTGACAGTTGTAGAGGCCTAAAGGCCCGATTTTGTCCTCCGGCAGCTGAAGGTCGTCGAGGCACAACTCGAAGGGCGTTTTCACTTGACCATACGCGTACACGTTCTCATCTGGTACGAATTTTTCCGGATAGATGTTTTCCAGGTACCATTTGAACGACTTGCATCTTAGCTTACTTCTAAGTTGTTTTCTGTGGGTCAAATCACCAACGACGGGGTTATTCTCCAGGCCGGGTTGATACATGAAGAAAAACCTCTTGTAATCGTCCATCCACACATGCGCCAATCTGGCCGTATTAATACCATGGGTGTCCTTATTATTCGGGAACGTGTATGGATGAAAATCCCTGAAGATATGACCGACCCTCGAACAGGGTACAGTCTCCAGTCTGCCCCCGCACTGCCATATCCTGAAAGACATTTCCAAATTTTCCCCACCCCAACCGTCCATTTGCTCATCGTAGGAACCGATGTTCCAAAAAAATTTCCTATCTATCGCGAATAACCCGCCAGCCATTGTCGGAGATTTGACCGGAGTTAATTTTTTTTTATCTGCTTCATCCTGTATGTTAATCCAGGTAAAATGACCGGACCAAGAGAAACCTCCCACCTGGTACGTTGTGTCACCTAAAAGATTACTAAATATTCACCTGTACATCATTTTTAAATAAATAGGTAGTTTTTTCACAAAAGAGAGGAAGGCAGAAGTCTTACTCGACTAATTTTTTTCAATTGCACAGCTAAATCGCGCACGTTATTTGTGTTTTACGTTGCAAGGAAAAAACTAAAAAACTGGTTTAGTACTCGATTTCGATTGATTATTCCTTATATCAATGATTAAGAAACTCAACGCTTATATGCTTATATAGTTATGTGTGTATTTTATCTAAGGGATCATTGTAAATTATTGTGTTTTTAATTGTAAATAAAATTCAAGAACTAAATCGTTGCATTTTCATGTTTTGCCAAAGGATCCAATTCGGTAAGTACATTTGTTGGTGCAGAATTAACTAATTATAACTTTACCTAATATAATTTATATTTAAGTTTGGAAATTTTTAAGAAATTAGTAAAATATAATTGTTGCACAAACATAACCTTAAAATCGAACATTTTTATATTCTTTTAGTTCTCTAAAAAACGTCGACAACTGCATTTTAAACAACAAAATATACCTACGAATTCATGGCAACATAATATTAATATAATACATAATATAATGGTATTTTACCGTTGAGTGGAGACTTTAAAGAATTCTTAATCAATGCTTTTATTAATGCTAAATGCTGTTTGAATTTAGACGACTTATTTGTTTGACGATTTTACACTTTTCACGTTAATCATTACTAAAATGTTTATTTATTGTATCTAATAGATACAATTTATATTTACAGGGACTGTATGAAATTTATTTCTTCAATCGGATTAACACTGTTTATTGAAAAACCGATAAAAACTCAACCCAGGATTTCCTCTCGAAATACACCCAATACCTAACACAACAAATCGTGCCACGGTTTTTTTTCGATTTTTTTTAACATTTTCCGGCTTTATTCTTAAAAAACACACGCGTTTGACAGCCGAGTGGTGGCGCTACTAGCGATACTTCTTTAGCGTATTATTTTTTATTCAGGAATTATTTTTTAGTGTTAACACTAGAGTGATATTTTCAATTAGATAAAAAATATCACATAAGAATTTTTATTCTGAAAATTAATAATATTATAGCAGATATTTTTAATTGTATGTGATATTTTTAATTCCGACTCATTGAGATTTTGGATACCCCTGTTATTCAAAAGGTGATTTTGCCGCCATCTAGCGACATAATTAGTTTGGAATACCAGGGGTGTCCAAACTTGCAATATAATTAAAATTATTAATGCTGATTTTAAAAATTAAAATTAATGAACGACCATTTTTAACGAAGGTAGAGCTATCCGAAAAATCTCTAAACAATTTTTTATTATCCTTTAATTTTTTCTATTAGTGTAGAAGTTTTACATTGTTATTGGTTTCTTATGTGGAAACAACCAAATAATAAGAAATCAGTCAAAATTTTCAATAATAAAAAATATAATATATTCTACATTTCACTTTATTATTAATAATAATATACATTATACTCAAAATTTCATTTTGAAAAAATACTATTTTTTAAGATTGATGTTATGATATTTTTAATTAAAGAATAAAAATTCTTAAGTGATATTTTCTTTCTAATTGAAAAGTGTTAACACTAAAGAATAATTTCTGAATAAAAAATAAAACGGCGTCCCACAATTACCACAAAAGAAGAAAATAAAAAATCTTACTTACCATTAGTAGAATAAGCTAGAGTATTAGCTTCAATAACATCTATTATAGGCACCAAAACTGCACTTTTTTCCTCCTCAATTCGGGCCAAAAGCGGTTCAATCCACCCCTTGGTAGCCTCACAGTGGGCATCCAAAAATATCATTACGTCCCCTGTTGCCAGTCTAGCACCCTGTAGCCTCGCCCTTATAAGTCCTAACCTATTTTTTAAATGTATTATTTTTACTTTTTTGTCTTTCAGTCTTGTGGTTATGTAGTAGTCTAACAGACCCTTGAGATTTTCTAAAATAAAAAAAATTGTTTTTTTTTTAAATATCTCTCTTCCTTTGAGTCAGAGGTAGGTAATAATAAAAAATGTGAATGTGAAATGTATAGGTTTTTACATATGAAAAACTGTTACAATGTCATATGACAAACTGTTAAGAAATTATCATCAAAAAATGTAAAAACACTTTTTTTGGAGATAAAAAGTTCATTTTTTTATCTGGACTGTGGCAACGTTGCAAATTTAGGGTTTTGGCTGGTAAATAGAGTTTTCAAGTTGGTCGCATTGATTCTATTCTAGTTATAAATCTAATTGTGGTTATGTATAAATTATTGTAGGTTACATTGTGCAGTTGTCAAGTTGAGTTGTCGAAATTCGTAGTTAAAAATGCAATTAATTTGGCTTTGATGGTGCTTGGATGAGTAAAATCATATAAAAACAGTAGTTAAATATAGGTTGCTTTACATCCCAGAAGAGAAAGTATTCCTAGCGGATAATAATCTTCGCTTTGAAAAGAATTTATATAAAAGAAATTAAAATTTTTTGTGAACGTAAATGTTGTCCAATGGTGAATAATGTGAAAAGAATGTGTGATGTAATATTTATAAAACCAAATACGTTACTTTTTTACTCCAAAAATGTCCATAAGGAGATGTACTTTTTCTTCCATTGTGGTATTTGGCATAATTTCATCAAAATGAAGTTTTGCCCTCAAAAGGGCTTTTACATTCGAATTCGTTGCTATTATTTTTGGCATAATTATCTTTTTATTTATAATTGACAAGTAAATTACCTATCAATAATAAATACCTATTATTGCCAATTTGACAGTGTCAAAGTATTTAATTAAATTCTTTAGCAGAAGTACCATTTTTAAATACTAAAAATACTAAGTCAAACTGGCATAAGCCACCAACCTAACAAAAAAACACGAGTCCAGATAAAAAAAATGAACTGTACATTTTTTGTAGTATCACATTTTAATGTCAGACCAATAGAAACCGAGATACAAGTAAAAAAAACTTACCATCAGTACTTGAGTCATCCACTAAAATTATCTCCTGTAAATTCTGCTCTGGGCTTTGTAAAATAACGCTCCATATAGTTCTTAATATTACACTTAATAATTCATTGTAAAATATAATTATTACTGTTGCTTTAAGTTTGGTGTCGTACTGAAAGTCTTTGCATCTAAAAAAATTGTTTTTTTAATATTGTCAAAAATTGCAAATATCTTGCTTTCTATTGGTTGGAGGTAAAAATGTGTACCTAATATAAAAATTGTTGATGTTTTAATTCTCTATGCTCCAACCAATAGCAAGCCAGATAATCACAATAAAAACGTTACTGCGCATATCAATTTATGCGCAACAACTGTCAATTTAAGCTTCACTTACTTGGTATTTCTTGGATCTTTAAGTTTCCTATCTAGGGGCATTCTATCACTTAAAATTGTATTTAAAGCGAATTTTTTTAACGCTTTTTCTCCCTCCAACGCTTCATCACCCCATAAATAAGCCGGCTCGCCATTATTGCCCAACTTTTCAATTATTTTCGCTTCATAAGGCCCTAATATTGCTTCAAATTCGTTTTCAAATTTTAGAGGCAGATTAAAGCCTGATATATCATTATTAAATAACTTTAAATACACTAGCACATATAGTATTAAGATAAACACAACTATTAATAGCTTGATATGTATTTTTTTCAATCTTCCATACTTTAGAAGCATCGTTATAACATAAAATAACGACCCGTTAAACTAGATCGTCATTTTTTGACCTCTTCATTGAAATAAGCAATTCATTATGTAAATAAAGCCATTATTGAGTTAAAAACACTAAAAACCGTCGCATTTAATTTTCCCACGCTTTAATTCACTCCACCAGCTTTTTAATCACTTAAAACAACAATCTAATTTGTTGAACTTGCATTTGTCCGCATAGGTTATGTTTTTTGGTTAAAAAATAAAACAGTTTTGCTTAGGCAACCTAGATCACACTTAGAAAATCATTTTATAATGTAATTTTAATGCGATATTAATATTATTTGCACTTTTAAATTACTTATTTGAGCTAAATAAATATAAATAATAGATAAAAAGTCAGTAAATAAACATTTTAAAGAATGACGGTACAGTTTACTCCACATACTTCCCAAAGTATCTAATAGATGGCACTACATGCCAAAATTTTCAAAAGATCAATAAAAACAGTATAAAAACCGAATGTTATTTGATATACCGATTAAACTAATTAATTTATGTCTTCATTGCCATAAATTCGTTTTTTATTAATTAATCCTAATGAATAACGGCTCTTTATCTCGTTAATTTAGGTTGCCATTACTTTGTTGATATTTTTGACGTTTGACACATAAAATATAAACAAATGGTTGCCGGTATAAATATTGTTTTTATTGTGAGTTTAAGTTTTTTGCAGTAAAATTGGGTGAGTTTGAGGTATATTTAGGTCTTTTTATGTATTGATTTTGTTTAAATACTATAAATTTTGATGTAATTGTTAAAACATAACCCTATTAAATAAAAAACCGATAACAATTACTGTCCAATATTGAAGACTGATTTTATTTTTCTTTTTCGTTTTTTATCCTAACCACTTTAAGCTTATAAAATGTAATGGTTACCTATTAGCTAATGGAGTTTCCCAGTGGGATATAATCACGCGAAGTTATATAAAATAAGGGGCAAACCCAGCCCTCAAAATAAAATAGACCATCAACATGTTATCTTTAAAAATATAGATAAAAAAGTAACGGACAATTTTCCAGAAAAAACGTTAGTTTTGTTAAGAAGCCTTTGGAATGCCCTTCAAAATTATGTGTCACATGATATGTTTCGAACCAATAGCAGGCCGGGATTTAATAAAAACATTTTTATCTAGTCTGCCGTGATATTTGTATTTTTCTTTTTTTTTTGCTTTTATATCTGTCGAGTGACGTATCAAATGACTAAGAATTTTGTTTTCTATCGATTTATGTAAAAATTCAAACAAAAATTGTAGGTATTGGTTTTTAAATAAAGACGATTTTTAGTTATTAGTTAAACTAAAGGTCATTAGTTTAAACATATGGGTTTAAAAACTTATTAAGATAAATAATGATTAAAATCTAATAAGAAAACAGTTTGAACTTTGTGTAAATTGATTTTGTATAAATAAGGAAAAACCAGTTATGGGTTAACAAAAAATTTAACTCTATGAATCTGTATGCCATGGGAAATGAGGTTACATCTTAGGTAGGTAGGTAGTTGTTATTAATAATAAATTAAAGGTTAGTTGGTCAAAAATTTTATGTTATTTTTTTCCCAATGTTATTCTATTTTTGATAGATGTTTTTAGAAAAACAATGATAAAACTTTCTATAATATTTTTCACAGTATGGTGCATTGAAATTGACATGTAAATTTTTAGCCATAATATAAAAATAACAAAAAAATATATTCTTGGATAATAAAAATACTTTTCTCAATATAAATACTTACATAAATAAAAGGAAAATAAAATTCCCTTTTATTTGACACCCAACAACCTATACTTTTGACCAATAACAAAGAAGATACAGCAAAAAACACATATTCCAACGCACACTAGACCAAAACTTCATTTAGTCATGTCTTCGTTATTTATCAAAGAAAAAGGAATATAAATTGAATTGCCTCCTACCCGATAAAAATATATTTACATAATTTTTAATTTTGTCAAAAAATTAAAAAAAAAAAATTATGGTCTTATTGGATAGAAAACATAATTTCTGTTCTTATGACACCCAACAACCTATATTTTTGAGCAATATTAACGAAGCTACGGCGTAAAAACAAAAAAACCAACGCACACTAGACCAAAACAACTTTTGGTCATATCTTCGTTATTTACCAACGAAAACATTACTTATTATACATCATTTCAAAGGAAATTTAATAACCTACGCGATTAAAATAAAATCTCGAATGGGCATTAGCTTATTTACAATTTGGAGCGCTGCGAAAACTGTGTGGTCGCCGCGTGAGAGCGATCGTGTCTCACCCGCGGCCTAATGGCGTTTCCACATGTCCGTACCTAGCGCTCTGCTGCGGAGAAAGGAAGCGGTCGAAAAAAAATCAACGAACCCAGATTAATGTGAGAAATAGTCCGGTAATTGCGAAATCTCTAGTAGACCTGGGAGGTTACCATGCACTAGAACACTTACTGTACACAGTACAGTACTCCAAAGTTGTCGTTGTGTATTTTATTCTCATATAAACAATTAAATATATATTTATTAATTTTTATTGCATAGAAAACAAAATTTCCTCTTATTTGATACGTCACATGGCATATTTATGTTAGAAAACAACCAAGATACGCATGAAAAACACTTTTGTCTAAGCCTACTAGATTAAAACGTTTTTATTCAATATCTCGCCTCCTATTGGTGGAAAACTAAAGTGTGAGGCATCATTTTAAAGAGAATCAAAATCTCTATGGCGGCCACTGTGCGGATTTCATGGCACACTATCTATCTTGCGAAAATCGTGATGCAACTCCAGGAAAAAAGGCGTTCGGTAAATAAAAGATTTACAAGGAAATTACTGGTGGCGGAGCAAATCGTCGGGATAGACGGCAATAAAAATTAATTTGGAAAGCGGCGGGTCGTCGATTATTCCTATCATGGAAAAATAAGGTTCGGTTAATAAAGTGAGGCGAACATCAATAATCCATCAATTGATACGGTGTCATCCTATCGGGTTACCGATGACATTTTTTGTCGTATAAACTGCACCCTTAAGCAGGCGCACCCCTTAGACCGAGGCTGGGCCTTCTACGATATCAGTTTTATTGTTTTTTAGTTGATAGGGAATGCTTTTGGTTTCTTAGAATAGTAAAAAATGGTACAATATATATGTATATGAAATTGTGATTAAATAATTAATTTGTTCTTTACAATTATCCCAATACCATGTTAATTTTTTAACAAAATCTGGTAGCTTCTGATACATGGGAGGAAACAACGTTTCCCAAGCAGCATTTTAAGTAAAAGCGTAGAGTAATTTAAGTAAATATTTTGTTAAAAATATGAATTTTAAATATTTACAGCAACAACAATAGTATATTACACTACAAGGGCAGAAAGTGTGAGATTCCTGCACTGCGCGCCATGATGCCCGAGGCGAAGCCGAGGGCATCATGGCGCGCAGTTCAGGACTCTCACACTTTCTGCCCGTGTAGTGTATACTATTTTTCTTACTACCCTGCAGAAAATACGGGAAAAAATTAAATGTATATAAAAAAATTTGTGTCAAAATTAAAATCTGACGTTTAATTTAATTCTGACGTTTACATTCAAAATCAATCAAACTGTAGCGTTGTCATGGTAATTCAGCGGTGCCAATACAGTAAAAATAAAAGGTTGTATTTTAATTAACAAATTACTACTTTATAACAAATAAAAGTACCATTAAACACTTAAAACAACATAAAAAGTAAAAAAGTAAAAACATAAATTGTTTATTTGTTGTTATAATTGCAAAATTATGGTTTAAAACTGTCATATTTTTGTGTTTCTCATGTTGGCAGTACGAAATTTAAATGTTAAGCACGCGACTAAAAAATTTTTACTCCCGCTATTAGAGTGTGCGCGTATAGCTTGACCAATGCAAGAAACGTAAACTTTCTGCCGTGAAATCGGGGACGAAACAACGTATTTTGAGTCGAGGTAGTAAGAAAAATTTGTTAACTTGAATTTCTTAGGATTCACGAAATGTTCGCTTTATATTACCTTAGAAAACTATTTTGACGGTGGATTGGATAAATAGGTTCTAAATTACTATTCTGCTCACTTAACACCCTGTACAAATTTGGTAATTTTGTTTCTTTATGCAATCTTGTTTCGAATATCCCGTGCATAAAAAAAAGTTATGAACTCATCATAGCGTTACAAGCTGAACAATAAAGAGCCATGTTAGGAGGGGTCCTAAAAATATGACATTTTCGGCCCATAAAACACCGTAAGGGCCCCCTAATGACGTGACATTTCGCGATTCACAGAACCTGCAGTCAACCGTTCATTTGATATTTTAGTGTACCTATGTAGTATTTGAGCTAAAGGTTTCTGTGCGCTGTATACGAAATTAATAATTTTAATGAAATTTAAAACCGTGTTTGGTTCATGGATATATCGAATTAAACTATAAGCCGACATTGGCAGAATAATTCTCATATTATCGCTAGACAGTGACGTGCCGAATTTTTGTAGAGCGTTTAAAATTAACGAAAATATTTTTAACGTATAGTGGACCAAAAATCTTTAAAAATGATACCCCACAAGCCATGGTTTGCTCAGTAATTACGTCAGAAATCAACAAATAATAAACAATCTAGTTGGCTTGCATTTATTTGTTTGTCTGTTATAACTTTGTTATTATTGGTTCAAAGTAGGTCGTGTTAGGTATACCTAATATATATATATATTTGATATATCAAATGAAAGGATTTTTTATTTTCTATGCGATAAAGCAATAATATAAAAACTTGTTTGCGTATGCAAATAATTATAATTTTATTTTTTTATCCTGATAAATACGAAAAACCCTTTACAGTAATGTATAATTTGTCATAAATTTCTTAATATTGAAGGCAGTAATGAATAAAACTAGTTTACATCTAGTAAGCCAGGAAATATGCGGTTTTCGCTTATATCTCGCACACTATTGGTCCAATTATAGTCATGTGACCC